AGCTACTAGTTTCGTCCTTGCTCCTAGTTGCGATGCCCTTTGTTACTCATAGCTTCTTGTTACTAGTAGTATGGCCAGGAGCTACTAGTAGCGTCCTTGCTCCTAGTAGCGATGGCCTTTGTTACTAGTAGCTCCTTGTTACTAGTAGTAAGGCCAGGAGCCCCTAGTTCTAGTAGCGTCCTTGCTCCTAGTAGCAAACCGGACACCATTTGTCTAACGCCTTGAGCCTTGCCGAGTCTGAGAGTGCGATCTTTCAGGACCTCACATCTGAGAGGAAGCGGTCTGATGAAATGCAGCGTGGCGGTCTCAGTCCTTGAACATAGTATTTGCATGTATGCGCCATGTAAATTGCAACGAGCAGCACAAATCGAGAGCAAGTCTGATAGCAATGGAATGCCTGAAGATCACTCAAGCACTTTTGTCTACATGTCCCATAAGAAGTAACATATAGAACAAGTGCAACTGTATAACATCGTATAGAATACAAGATAGTATGAGTATGAGAGTTCGATTGGTCGCTTGGACCACATGTGGACAGGTGTGCTCCTCCGATTGGAACAAGGCCTCTGAGCGCCACAAGGACTTAAGCAGGGCTTACAAAGTCATAAGCCTTCGACATCTTCCACCCTGACGGCACCATGTGGGCTCCAATATGAGCTCACAGTTCTGGCCAGATTGTTCAGCGAGTCATGCCGAAGATCGGCTACCGAAGATGTCAAACCGGCGAATCTGTCAAACCAGCACGCTGAACAAAAAACATGGCAGTCACACAGTCGGGCTCCAGACTGGCTATAATGCTTGGCCAGCAGTACTCGGGATATTTCTTATACCATCTTACACCGAAGGCTGTTTTGAACACGGGCAAAAACGCCACACAGGACTCCATGCGTGTGCAGGTACCCAGGTCAAGACTCAAAGACTCTCAGCATGTGCATCTTTGGCAGGCCCAGACTGCATTGAAAGGCATCTCATCTGAGGATGCCGAATCTTGGGCAGCAAGCAGAAGCACCACAGGGAGAGTTCATCAGCAAGACTGAAGTTTCCTTTTGATTGGAAGCTGGGAATGGTTTTCTTGTGATTAGACATTTAGTGAAGGTCTTACTCCAAGAGCTATATAGGTTCGAGCTGTGAGATGCGAGGTCTTGAAGGATAGATATGGCGCTGAAAGGATCATTTTACACACTCAACAAAGTGATTAAGTAGATGGCCCAAGGGCGCGCCACAGGAATAAAGAGTATCTGAACACACAAAACAGCGGGCCATTGTGTCCGCTTGTGTCCGGGCTACACAACATGTAAATACAATCAAATCCAGGCCCAAATAAGGCACCAAGAACATCCAACACACATCCAACTGTTTGCATTTGTTTGCCTGCCCAAATCAATCCTGGAATGCTGGATTCAGATGCTGAGACGGTTGTGGTGCTTTTCTACTGCTATCAAGACTCCTGTGCCGCGAGCCTGGCAGCAGAGCAGCGGCTGCTTGGTGCAGAGCTGGGCCTTTGTGGGCGAGTGCTGGTCGCAGCAGAGGGAATCAATGGCACAGTTCAGGGAGATGCAGCAGCCATTGCGGTCTATGAAGCTGCAGTCCAGAAATCCTTCTCCAGTCAGATCGACTGGAAAAGGAGCATTGACAAGTCCAATACAGCACTATTCCCCGACTTTGTGGTCAAAGAGGTCAATGAGCTGGTGGGCTTTGGACTTCAAGGATCAGAACCATTGGATGTCGTGGCGGAGTCTGGCACACGCTTGTCGCCACAAGAGTTTCACTCACTTCTGGAAAACCCAGATGAGCTAAGACTCATTGACGTGCGCAACACCTTTGAGTATGATGTTGGACACTTTGATGGTGCGATAGATCCCGGTATGACTCATACTGCTCAATGGCCGCGTTTCGTAAAGAACAACATCCAGGATGTTCAGTAGGGGTTGGAGCGCTCTCTCAGTGAAATGAGTGGTCGGGAGGCTACTGTGTTTAGGATGAAGCGTGCATGCAGCTCATAGGATGATGCGGCTGCACTATGCATTTTAAAGAGCATACAAATTCACAGTAAGAACATGTCTTAATCGAACAAGATCCTGCCATGGTGAGTGGCTACGAATTTAACTCCTTAGAAGAGTTTGCGGATGCCTTTAACTTTACAAGAGAAGGAGAGAGACTGGGGGTGAGAGAGGGCCAGTGACCCAAGCAACTCTTACTGTATGTCCTAAAGTCCTAAGTCCGGCCATGCAACAGTAACAGCGAATATATATATATTATATATATATATGTATACATATAGTATTTTAATAGTGGAAGCTTTGATACATAATCTCACAATACAGGAGACTTCATTATAATTCATTATACGCCAGTTTTCCTTTCGGAATTACTTTGCTGTAGCAGTTTCATTTTCCACCTACGCATGTTGCATGGCAGTTCCAAGAGACCTGTACCGCAAAAGCGGATCAACACGAAGACCTCGTTCAGATCTCGATCTCCAGGACCTCAAGGGGCGAACGGTCATGCTCTACTGCACGGGTGGGATCCGATGTGAGAAGGCCTCTGCCTTCCTCCGACGACGGCTGAAGGAGGACGGAGCTGAGGTATCGACACCGGTGTATCAATTGGAAGGTGGGATTCATCGATACCTTGAGGCTTTCCCCGATGGCGGCCGCTTTCGGGGTGCCAATTTCGTGTTTGACAAACGCGCACAGATGCGTTCCGGAGACGGAACCGTCATTGGGCGCTGCTCCGAGTGCTTGGGACCCTGGGATGCACATCATGGCGGCCGTGTGTGCACCGTTTGCCGCGCATTGGTGCTCGTTTGCGATGACTGCGATGCTTCGAGTGAGCACGGGGAGTACTGGTGCCCTGAACATTCCAATCTGCGAGGAAGCTACTTTCACTTTCTTGACCGTTTTTCTGAGAAAGAACTCCAGGCACAGGCTCAAAGCTTGCAGCTTTTGCTGGACAAAGAGGTTGGCACTCATCGCAAGAATCGTCGGAACACCTTAAGAAAGAAGCTCTTGCAGGTGCAAGATCGACTGGAACATCTTCAGTTGGAGCCAAAACATGGGGAAACTACAGCTGAAGATGCTGAAGTATCAGTCCCTCGTCGGTGCAGGGCCTGTGAGAAGCCATATTGTCAATGTCCGGGCGTGTGCTGGGGCTTCTGGAAAGAGATCGCTCAAGAGTAAAAGTAGACCGATTGATATGGGAAAGAAGCACGTTGTCATTCTCCTAAAGACATCTAAAGACGTGACATGGTGTCCTGTGATTTTTGGAAACACGTTCTGCATGAGTCCACCTGTTGTTAATATCTCCTCCTCCTCCTCCTCCTTCTTGTCAAACTTGTCCTCCTCCTCGCGATCGGGATTTTCATCACGATCACACTCCCCAGGCGGCCTGCTCCTCATCATCAAAGTCCCTCCATCCCTTGAATCATTTTGGTCTTGTGTTTGGACTCCAAGTCTAGATGGAGAGCCGGAGAGCCCTCCATCTCAGCCTCAGGTCAAAATAGAAAACTACCTCACAGACCCCGTTACAGCAGCCGCAGCAGCCTACTGTTTGAAGTCTTCGGACTTCGATCATTTTCGATCTCTAAACCAAGTTTGGCTTCCTATCTTCCCAAGCTGATGTCTAAACCCAGTTTGCTGCTTTCGAATCAGCGTTGGTGAGACAGATCTCCGCCCAGGCCTCTCTCTTGGAGGACTTGAAATCGAGAAACCATGCTGCAACCTCAAAAGCCTAGTGCAATTCTTTGGCCGTGAAGTCTATGCACTCCGACTATGCTTAAGATACCGTTGAAATCCCGTTGAAATCCATTTCACTCTTGGCATCGTTGTTATCGTTTTGTGTTTTGGTGCGAGTGCGAGTGATGTATTTAGTATGTTGCCCCATTGCAAAGAATTGAACTATCAGATACCGAATGACTTTCCAAGAAGCTCTTGCAGCGGTGTGCACTCTTGGTCCAGTCGGTCTAGTCCCTTCTGCTGTACCACCTGTATTTGGGCTCAGGTGAGGAATGCCTCAGCCTGGATTTGTGCCAAGGCCAAGCGTCCGGAACACTCAGCGACCCAAGACAGCGATGGTATGTCGTTTTGGTGAAAATTGAATTATATGCATTTATAATCATATGTAATATATATATATATACACATACTGTTACATACATACTGAAAGATAAGAGTTGCACAAGGTCATTCAGAGAACAGTGCTTGCCCACGGGGTCAGGACGTCTTCTTTTTTCTTCACTTGCACCGTGATTTTACGACAAAAGTCTCTTTGATGGTCATGGACTTGCGGCCGCTTCGCATTTCCAAGGAGAAATTGAATGACCATACATTTGGACGACCGGGACCCTTTGTGGCTGGCAAGAAAGACAGAACAATGAAAAGCATGCTGTGAGGTCATGCTGTAGAGGTTAACTGACAGTCAACTGTGTTGTGTGTGTGTTTTCCTATCACTGCTGACACAATAGGGCTAGACTGTTGCTGACCTGTCGTTCACCGCTCGCTGCAATGCAGTACCTCATTGCGCTGGCGGGCTTGGTGGTGTTAGTCTCTGCCGTTTTGGCAGCACTTGGATTCCGGGGCCGGCCGCAGGTTGTCGGCATTGATTTGGGCACCACTTTTTCGGTGGTCGCTTTGAAGGCAACTGATGGAACCGTCTCCATCATTCCTGATCACCTGTCTGGCAAACAACTGCTGCCGTCGGTGGTAACTTACATGTCAAACGGCAAGGTGCTTGTGGGTGATTTGGCCGTTGCTCAGAGAGGCCGGCATCCAGAGCGCACGATTTTCAACGCGAAGCGGTTTATCGGTCGAGAGTTGGGGGAGGTTTCACAGGAGACGGCATCTCATGCCTACCGGGTCTTTGGCAACTTCTCTGACAGCTCCCGAGATCCCAGTGCCAGTGATCCAAAATCATCTGCTGGATTTGGAGTTGAGCTAGATGGACAGAAAGAGAGATGGATATCACCAATTGATGTTGGCGCAGAGGTAGTTGGGCATATGCGACGCTCTGTTAGTCAATATCTTGGGTTTGAGATATCACGCGCAGTGATTTGTGTGCCTGCAAAGTTCGGCTTCAGGGAAACCAAGGCTACGCAGGAGGCCTTTGAACATGCCGGAATGAAAGTGATGCGTATTTTGGAGGAGCCCACAGCAGCTGCAGTCGCCTACAACTTACACAAAGGTGAAGGTGTAAGACACGTTTTAGTTTATGACATTGGCGGTGGCACGTTGGACACCTCCTTGCTGTACATGAACGGCAATTCAGTGAGTGTCCTAAGTGTGGCCGGAGATGACCACCTGGGTGGATCTGACTTTGATGTGCAGATGTTGCGACTGCTGACAAAGAAGCTGGAAGAGGGCCAAGTGCAGATTGCAGATCCCTCTGCGAAGGAAAACTGTGAGAGCTCCGGTTTGCACATTTTAGCTGAAGATTTAAAGATCAGGCTGAGCAGCCAGCTTCAAGCAGAGACTAGATGTCGTCACTCAGATGGGAAGGATCGCGTTTTTGTGGTCACACGTGAGGACTTTGAGAATGCCTCCTCTGAACTCTTTAGCCGTGCAATGGCACCGGTTGAAAAGGTCCTAGATGATCAGATGATGTCTTCAGAGCACATTAGCGATGTGGTGCTGGTGGGTGGTGCCTCCCGGACGCCCAAGCTGCGACAGCTGCTCCAAGACTTCTTTGGACCTTCAAAGCGACTTCATACAGAAATTGACCCAGACATCACAGTGGCCTGGGGTGCAGCCAGTGTTCTTGATTGAGTGAGCTCGTGCGCAAGGCAAGTTAATGAACGGCAGAATCGGAGCTGTTGAGAATGTCCAGCTCTGTCAATTTTGAATGCAGTTGCCAAGTTGCCTCTCATTTGGGAAAATGCAGTGTGCCGCACTGTAGTCAGGCTACCTCGAGTTTGTAGCGACTTTCGATTGGCATGGTTTGGGATTACTGAGAATAAGCAAATTTCACATATTTCACTTCAAGCTGAATCTCTACATTTGCCAATAGGTTCGGTTTGCAATCTGAGGCTTTCCTCAAGAGCAGGCGCAATTTGCGAGTGCATGCTATCAATCATGTTCTTTCATATCAATCATGTTCTTTCATTTTCTCGCTTGATAGAACAATTTTTGGAGGCGACTCAGGATAATGATCAGGTGTGATGAGCTAACGATCATCACCTGCAATGGTATCAATATGAATGTACCATGCAGCACTTGCTACAGCCCGTGCTTGTATCGCCTAGCCATATACATACATAGTAGCCCTTGACGGGCTTGTCAGAGTGGCACCAAAAGTACGTTTTTGATGAAGCGTTATTGCAGCACACCCAGTAACCTTTCATAGTTTCTTGTGACTTTTGTTGATGTCAGGTACGTGTGGAGCGATCGAAACTTCATGCACACTTCCTTTGATATTATAGAGGGTGCCAAAACAGCTTTCTGTCGCTTTGGCCCAAGGTTGCTGTTCCACGTGATTTTTTATGATGTGAATCCAGGTCTACGTGAATATCACTGGCAAGTCTGAGGCTTCCCACCAGACAATTCTAATATATAAATTTTGAGAATCCCCAAGTCTTGAGCTGCCCTGGCCATGGCTGCCGGATCTTAAGCCGAATGCCCTCGCAGGCAATGTACCGATCAGTTCCTGTTGACAATTGCCGCATTGAGAAAGCAATGACAAATCAACCGACAATGGTCTTATGTTTAATGTTCTGGCCAATTGGTCATGACACTGTCATCCAGTTCAATATCCAGTTCAATGGGCCCTTGGCTTGGATGACGGGTGTTCAGTATCATTTCAATAATACTTACAGTATCTGTCCATGTGCTCATGTCGAAATTTCGACCGATTTGACTTGCTCGCGACTTTGTGTATTTGTGTGTTCCCCAACAAACATCGGCAGACTTCACTTCTGGCGGGCCTCCTTCTGGCAGTTATATAAGTTATATTACTTGTTACTAGTAGCTTCTTGTTCCACCATATTTGCCAAGTCGACTGACCTAGGCATCACTACCGTCACTCTGGACGGGTAGTGAAAAACGGGAGCTAAGGAAACGTGACAAAGACACAAACTAATTAAGCACCGTGGTCAACAATAGCGAAGTTCCAGGACAGCAAGGAATTGCCCGCGCCAGCAAACAACAAATCGGCAAAGTGCCGGAGTTCCTTTTCACTGATGTAAGGCCTTGCACCAAAAATAGCCCCCCGTGGCAGCGCCCAACCACAGGCATGGTGGCCATCACGCTTATGGATACCAGGGAGTAAGCATTGACCCTCAATGGCAAAAATCTCGCAGCACCATTTCTTGACACCTCTCACCAAGGATCCAAAGGTGTCCGTAGCCTCAAACGAGGTGAGGGAAAAACGTCGTGACAAGAGAATGTGAGCAATCTCCACATACGCAATGGAGAGGTCAGGATGAATTTTCCATCGCAACGACTGCAAGAATCGCCCAAAAATCTCATCGTCCTCATTGGGGCATATAGTATGGAGCTTCGAGAAAGCAGGGCAACACTTCTTGGCCATCCACTCAAAGTCAGCTTCGACCGAGTGCCAATCCCATGTTGGAAATCTGGATTTGTGCTCATCACAGATATCGGACTGCTGGTTCTCCTCAATGGTTTGGAAAACCTTCTTGACAATACCCTCGGACCCAATGATCTGATTTAAGGACACCAGGGCCGCTTGCCGGCGATGTGCTGCGGCAAAGACTGTTGGCCACAAGTCCACATTGATGATGGCCTGTTGGGATGCAACACGTTTAGCCTCTTCATCAGCCAGTCTGTTGGCCCGCACCTTCCAGCCGGCTCCGCAGGGGCGATGGCCGCGATTGGTTTGTGATCGCAGGTGTGTGCGGGCATCCACTCAAGGTGAACCGGACACTCACAAAGTTGCAACTTCAGCTTCCAAACACGGTGGATCTCCAGCCAGATAGGTCGGTGACTCCAATGCTCTGGAATAGTGTGGCACGCACACATTTTGGCAAACAAGTCAACAATAGTCTGGCAATCAGTAACCAGATGGAGACATGCTGGAGCAATGATAATCGCAACCGCAAGGGCGAAAAGCTCCGCGGTATACGAAGCGAGTGCAACATGTCTGACAGGCCCTGACTTGATCAGGTGCTCATTTTGGTCATAGATGGCAAAGGCAGCTGTGGTCAACCAATACGATTCTTGTTTCAAGACAGAACCGTCCGAGAACCACACAATGCTGGGAGCAACAGGATCAAAAAGGCACTGGTCATAGCTCGGCAGTGTAGAAAGCTGGATTCGATGAGTGACAACGCAACTCGGATGTTCAACGATGCCTAAACCGCAGAAATTTGGCCCCAATTCATGGCTCTGGAGGCAGGTGAGGAAGCTGGGCGCCGCCGGGCAGTCGCGGACAATGTGCAGTAGCGACTCCTTAGTGTCATGGCAGTAACGGCGTGCTGCAGAGTCTATGAAGCCAGCAGCGGCACGACGATCATTGGTGATCGTACATCCTACGATTTGTGCGTCAAAGTGGGCAACTAAAGTTTTATGGGGGGCACTGGACTGCGTGCCACCTTTGAAAGCAGTAGAAAGCCCGAAGTCAAGGAGGCCGGAAGGCTTCTTGACATCCTTTCGTGAATTATAATTGACTGAGTCATAACAAAATTGCCTTCCTAAGGTGTGAAGGAGCCCTTTCAAATCTTTCGGGGAAACATCCAGAATAGAGAATTGCGAGGCGCCTAAACCAATATTCATATCAGGCAACAAGGTACACCTGAACACTGTCAAAGCATCACGAAAATGCGCAAGCAGTGAATGTTTTCGTGCGGCGGAGGCATGAAACAAGGCCCTTAAGCGCTCCAACAAAGGGGGGTGCCTGTGAATTGCTCGCCACAGATTCCTAACAGTGACATAGGCTCTTGCAACACGTGGGTGCACAAAACATGGGTTGCACAGAAAGGCAAAAAGAAGCATACGAGCCCTCCAATGGGGTCGCCGCCCCCAAATGGTATTGGCAATCTCGTTTTCGATCTTTGCGCAAGTCAGTTTTGGGATGGAAGAGATATCGGCCGCAAAAGTGCATTGGGGAATGACCTTGGACGCAATCAACTGGCACTTAGTTTTGAGGGGTACGGGGAGGGCAGCAATATTCTTAGCATCATTGCAAATCTTCACGGCCTTGTGGTCGGGAAAATGAAACGCACTCCGTTGGGCCGTGTACATCTTAGCCCCAAGTGCATCAAACTCCAAAACGACGGGGATGGTGGGAAACAATTGTTTTGCAGTTTTTCTCGCTTTGGAACTGGTGGCCCATAGGGAACTTTTGTCAGCATTTAACTTTTGGCCAATCAGTAAGTTCCACTGTTCAGTAACTTGCAATGCCTTTTCTAAATAATGAATGCGAGAAAGTCGAACCCACAAGTACGCATCATCAATGAAAACACGGCACGTGACATGTGGCAGGAGTGCAATGAATCTCGACCAAACTGCCATGTGGGCATTGATTGCAAGGAGGGAAAGGCTGCAGCCCTGAGCAACACCGTTAGCAGCGGTTGTGGCGGTACTAGAAACCCAACCCCTGTAGGACAGATGCCGTTTGAGGGAAGCATACATTTTGACAAAGACATTCACAACACCACGTGGTAGCCCCAAGGCTAAAAAGAGTGCAGCAGCAAAGTCAGGGACTATCCTGTCGAAACACTTAGATTGATCGAGCTTAATACCAACTAGCGGGTCGTCAGAGGCGATCGCTTCATCGATTTCAAGCCGGATATCAGTACTTACATCGGACATGTCCCGATGACGTATGCCCCCACACAGAACTTTGGGGAAGACAGTGTTTTGCCACTGTTGTAGCTGGCGGAACCTTGTTCCAGTGTAAGCCAAGAGCATAGGGGAGAGAATCGTGATGAGCCTTTTATTTAAGGGAGAAGAGGGCCCTGGCATGTTCAAGATGGCCTGCTTGGCGCGGGTGAGGACATCAGGCATGACCGCATTGCAATCTTCTTCCAAGGCACAAAAGAAATCAGCGATGACATCGCAACATGCTCTCGGCAACATCTGCAAATCGCACGTGCGCCACCCATCTAATCCGGGAGCGGCGAGTGGGTTCCTACGCATGATGGTTTCCTCAATGTCGGCTCCCGTCAAAGCAGGAAGTTCAAAGGGAGGGATGTCATGGTCTAAGTACGGCCAAACAACATTGAGCATCTGCACAGGATCGTGTCTAAGCGTGTTGGCACTAAAGATTGAGTCCCAATCACTAGCGATGGTAGAGATGGCATCCTGGGGGTTAAAGATGATGTTACCATCAGAGTCAAGAACTAGGTTGGCGGGTTCATCCAAACATTTGTTTTTGAGATGATGGAAAATAAACTGTTTAGACCCCTTGGCAGATTCACGGACACTAGACTTCCAAGCCGAAATGCGGGCGTTTTTCTTTCGAAGCTCCCAAGCAATGGCCTCGTTTTTGACCCATTGGATGTTGTGAAAGAGGTCAACCAGAGTCACTGAAAAGGGCTCGGTCCACACGACCGGCGACTGGAGGTCCCTAAGGGAATGCCAAACTTTCTTAGTGGTGCGCTGAAAAATGATGGCGTCTCTAAGGGTATTGGAAGGTCGGAGTAACCGAGTCTCAAGTTCCCACAATCGGCGCAGGGTTTTGAACAGGCGAGAACCCTTCAACGTGGCAGCGGAGCCAGAAGGAAGCTGTCCAGGACAAACCCGCTTCTTCGTGAAAAGTGGGAGCATCCCTCGTTTGCGGGCTCCACAACCCCAGAAAGAACCATTAT